AGCAGCAGCAGCAAACGCTGCAGCAGCAGCAGTAGCAGCAGCGCTGCTGCAGCTGCGGCAGGAGTTGCCGCAGACCCCCCATAGCGTGCACAGCAGCAGCTGCTGCAGCGGCAACAGAACCCAACAACTGCTGCAGCAGCAGCTGCAGCCGCAGGCACCCAGCGCAGAGGCGCCCCAGCAGGCCAGAACCCTCAGACCCCACCAGATCTCGCGGCTGCGCCAACGGCCAGTGCCAGGACGACGGACGACCATCTGGAAGTTTCGGCCACGACTGAAACGGGGCCCGTTAGGCCAGAAGGGAGCGCGGGTTCGATATACCGAATCCCAGAAGTGGAATGGGGCCCGTATGCCAGATGCAAATCGTGGCGTCTCGAGCCCCAGCCCCGCCCCCGACGGCCGCCCTGAGCACGGACTACCTCAACGCCCCGTGACGACGACAGACGTCCATCCCAGGGACCCTGCCACGCATAGCGACATATCGGTGCGTAGCAGCAGCAACAGCGGCAACGTGCCACCCCCCGCTTCGTCGGCAGGCGATGACGTCCCAGAGGGGAATCGAGAGGCGGTTGAGGCAGAGGTCGCGATACCACCCCCCGCGTCGTGGTCAGACGATGACGTCCCAGTGGGGATTCGAGAGGTGGTAGCCTGCAGTGACCAGTGCACAGCTCGCACTAACGCCCCCCCCCCCCTTCAGCTGCACCAGCAGGCCAGAGGCAAGGAGCGGGAAGTCACGGCGGAGACGGCGGAGGCTGCGGAAGCCGCGGAGCACCCCCCTCTGGACAAGCTGTCCGTCAGCAGTCCTCTGCGCCAGCAGGACAGATCGACTCCTGCTTCGTTCAGAACTTCTACTTCTTTATCTTGGCGGTTGTCTACGTGCTGCGCGTGTGGCTATACCGTCGACCTCAGTTATTTTCCCTTCTGTCTGCGTGCTGCGCGCGTGGCTATACCGTGGACAGTTGGCAGTTCTACTCTGAAATCCACCTTCGCTGTTGATTGCGAGTTGCACACCGTACTCAGCAGCGCGACTGGGTGTCTCATACATCCCCCTCTTGGTTTTGACGGGCTGTTGTCGGACGTGCCGTGCCTCTCCATCGGAGGAAACACGCTGTGAGGGTGTGCGACGGCGGTGGGGGATGCGCCTGGGGGAAGGCGCGCGGTACCCAGGGAAGGCTGCAGCACAGACCCCCCGCCTGGTGAACAGGCGAGCAGGACCCCCCCCGCGGCGGCTGAAGTTCATCCACGGGGACCGGTGGAGGGATCAAACAGACGAGACCCAGGTCGGTCAGCACCGTCACTGTGGGCCGCCTCATCCTCCTCTTCCTCCTTCAATTCACATGATTGCGCGGCTCTCGGCTGCGCCCCCCTTCCTCCCCCCCCCCCTGTGCCAGCGCAGCGTAGATTGCCTGGGCCGGCCCCGACTGCGGCGACGCGCCGACGACGGCGCCGACGGCGACGCCTTTTCCCCCCCTCCTGCGACGCCAACGTCGACGACGGAGCCGTCTGCGACGCGTGACTCGGCTTCGACTGGGACGCCTGCGCCGACGACGGTGCCGACAGCGTCGCCCCGTCCGTCTCCGACAGGCTCAGCCTGCGCGTCGCAGGGACCCGCCTCGGAGACGTCGGCCGCGGTGGCTCGCGCGGCCAGCGCGCGTCGCCAGGGCGCTGCACGGGCAGCGTGGCAGGCGTGGTTCTGCGACTGAGCGGCGCCTAATCCGGCTCCCGCTGCAACGCCGGAGCCGTCGTCGGAGCCGACTGCGACGCCTGACCTGGCTGCGTCTGCGACGCCGCGCCGACCGCGGAGCCGACGGCGACGCCCTAGACCCTGACATGCGCCCCAGGCTGCGTGTCGTAGGGGCTCGTGTGCGGTGACGACGGCTGCGGTGGCTCGAGCGGCCAGTGCGCGGTGCCAGATCCCCGGGCGCCTGCGCCCCGAGCTTCTCCTGGCCCCCCGCCCCCCGGTGCTGAGCGACGCGATGCCCGTTCGCCCCCCTCTGCGCGTCGCCGAGGCCGCCGCTCGGCTCGCTTTGCTGCGTTCTCTGTGCGCGGTTCCTTTGATTGTCTGGGGCGAGAGAGCAACGACCAGGAAGGCAGAGGCCTGTGGAGTGGAGATTCAGGGCACCAGCGAAGTGACAGCACTGTCCTCCGCCAGCGGACTGGCGCGTCGTTCCCCCCCGCGGTCACGGAAGACCCTCCACTGGGAGCGGTGGAGAGATCACAGAGGTGACTCCGACATTGGACTGACGCCCCCCCCCCTGCGGTCACTGGCGACGCTCCACAGGGGGCGGTGGAGGGATCACAGAGGTGACTCCGACCGGTGTCGTTCCCCCCGCGGTCACTGAAGACCCTCAGCAGGGGGCGGTGGAGGGATCGCAGAGGTGACTCCGACCACGCAGCGTCGAAGTGGTGCTGCCTCTTCCTCCTCCTCCTCCTCCTCCATTCACCGGTTTGTGCGGCTCTCGGCTGCGCCCCGCCTCATCCCCCTCCTTTTGTCCAGATCCACTGGGGCACTCGGGCATCCACGGCGCCTGGAGGTTCACTGGCAGGGCCCCGAGGTGCATGCTGGCAGCAGCGGCTGCCAAAGGAAGATCTGGATAGCCGGGGTCAGAGCCAGTCTGTCCCCGCAGGCACGGGGTCCTCCGGCCCCTGGAACGGGCGCGGATCGCCTGCGTGGACTAGGATTGGTTCGCGGCGCTCCAGGTGCTGGGCTACGGCAAGGCGCAGCCCTGCACGCCTCCCCGCTCGGGCACCACCTGAGGCCGGACCTGGGGCGAGCGCTGTCCTGGCAAGTAGTTCATCCTTTGGCAGGTCACCGCGGTTCCCCCGGCAGGTCCGCCCTTGTTATTTCGGCTGACGCTCGCGACTTTGCGCCCCCGTCCCCTGCGGCGGATAAGGCGCCCGCGTTGCATGCCGACGTCGTCGACGACTCGCTTCCCATGGCGGTCTTGCTACTGCACAAGTGGTGTATCCTGTGGCAGTTCATCTCGGCCCTCCAGCAGGGCGTTCCGGGGTACTCGACCAGCGCTTGCAGCTGTCCCCCCCCCCATCCCCCCCGACTTTCAGAGTCAGGCATGTT